CGTCATCATTTACCCAGAATGCTTTGTGTGTGAACAAAATGGCTACGTCTGTGTAATATATTTTTAAAAATTTAGTTTAAAAATTATAAAAACTGAACAGCCTACAGTATTTTTACAGTTTTTATTTTACAGTTAAAATGAATGTTTATTAAATAAAGTCTAATGTTACAACTAACCAGGAATCCATTTAAGAAAATGCACATGGAAAACAATACACTAGTACAGGGTGCCCAAACATTTTTACTGAGCAGGCCAAAATTAAAATCAATCTGAGGTCCGCAGCCAAACGCAATAATATAAGAAATGCAAATACTTAAGTAAAGTTGTTTTATTTCTTATGATTAAGCTAGCAGCCAGTGTGGTTGCCCACATTCTTTAGTTGTTGTTTTTTTTCCCGCCCAAGGACATGGAGAAAATTCAACTTATGCTCAGGCAGCAAAGGCTCATGGGACTTTTCATCATTTAAAATTTAAATCTAATCTAAATTCATCTTTTAGTTACTTGTATTTTATATTTAATCTTAACATAATTACAATCTAGTAACCAGGACAACTGCTGCAGGGCCAAATCTAATGGCTCAGTGGGCCAATATTGGCCCGCGGGCCCCACTTTGGGCACCTCTGCTCTGGTAGAACAAACATYCTWAACCAAACAAAGGATAATATTCTCGTGGCATTTAGGAGGTAAAATGACAGTAAACTATTTTAACACAGCATGGGGTTTATAAGGGGGTCCCCAGACCCAACACGTTTGAGAACCCCTGTGTCGTGGAAATATCAACTAAAGCAGAAACACGTGAATAAAACGATAAGTGCACTGCGTGGTTTGGTCGTCAGATGATTGATTTGCATTATGCAAAAACGAGCAGCAACGCAGAGGTCAGATCAGACGTCCCACCACGTAGTTACTGAACTAGTAACAGACAGGAAATGATTCTGGGTGGAGTCCGTGAACAGCCAATCACAAAGTTACATGTTTACAGCGGGATCAAAATGAGAACAGACATCAGTGGTGTCTTTCAACAGGACAGATTATAATAAATGTAGCAGTTATCAGAGATACAGAACAGAATATGTCAAGGTAATGTGAACTTAGTCAGGCAAAGTTATACAAGTTATTTCCAGCACACCCTGCTTTAGCTGAATGTGAACATAAACATGTGTTCATAGTTGTGATTTGTTGTTTCCGTGTGCGTGTAATTATATAAACTTTAYGTTAAACACCTTTGAAATTTAAAACACAAAAAACTCCCAATGTGATACATTACTTYAGTAAAAAGACTTGTGCATTATACACGGATTTGTTTTAACTAATAAAACTGTTTTCCTATTAGATGTAAACTTGTAAATATAATTTCAGTATAACACCTCTGATCTAAAAACAGCTTCCAAACATAATTAAAGTTGAACATGATAATAGAAAAGGTTTTGTTTGTTTTCAAATACCAATTTCAAAATAAAAGTCTTCATACTGTCGTAATTTCATACCATCCCATGCCTAGTCATCACTTTCKGTTACTGCGCCTGTTAATATCTCAATAATGTGATATTGTTTACTATATTATCTTTCTAATAATGTATTTGCATTTATCTAGAAAATTTGATGTCAGAGCCTTTTAGAAAGATTTTGAAAAGGTTTTTTTTTTTTTGGGCTGCTCCCTTAATCAGGGGTCACCACTGCGAGCAAACTCAAATATTTTACCTTCTCTTCCTGAAGCAAGCTGGGTTTAAACTTACAGCCACAGGATTATAAAACCACAGCTCCAGATTATTCTGGTCACTGAGACCACATGAAGTCTGTGTACGAGACACAAACCCTTTCACAATAATTATCAGAGAAAACCAATTATTACTTATTATTATTATTATTAATAAATTCATTTCAGAAATGTTTTCATTTAACATGCATCAAAACTCATGTAAACTTATAATCTCCAGACACCCTGTTGGATGAAGAAGTGGACAACCCCAGCTCATCTCTTTTTCTCTCTAAACTAATCTCCACGTGTCGATGCTGCACTGCTGATACAGCCAACAGTTAACTGTCACTAACTAATCATCACGTTTGTGCAGTACAGCATCTAAACTGCAGGTCCTGCAATGAACAGGCAAATACTGACAAGTGCAAAGACTTTAGTTCATACACACAACTAAACCACAAAACCAACGAGCCTTAAGCCCATAAGTACTTACCAGTTTGAATATCTTTCCAAAGAACCCATGACTTTGATCGATCTTCAAAAACAATGAAGCATCGTTGCTTTTCATCATCTATCTGAATGACAAAACAAAAAAACAAAAACATTAAAGCTCTTTCTGAAAAACACTAACAAAGTATTCACCCCCC